GCCAAGGAACCGAAGAAGAAGAAGAAGAAGAAGAAGAAGAAGAAGAAGAAGAAGAAGAAGAAGAAGAAAAAGAAGAAGAAGAAGAAGAAGAAGAAGAAGAAGAAGTAACCAATGGTCGCTACTAGGACATCGAAGGTCGGAGCTGGGGCAGGTTGTGCTGGCCTGTAGCCTAGCATGTTGGGGGCGTGAAGCTATGGTTGGTCGAGGTTAGGATCTTGGTGTCACTTGGAATGTGGGTGCTTGGTAGGCGTGGGGTTGTTAATGAGTTTTACTGAAATTAAAATCAATCATGGAAGTAGAAGAAGAAGAAGAAGAAGAAGAAGAAGAAGAAGAAGGAGAAGGAGAAGGAGAAGGAGAAGGAGAAGAAGGAAGAAGGAAGAAGAAGGAAGAAGAAGAAGAAGAAGGAAGCGTGGGGTTGTTAATGAGTTTTACTGAAATTAAAATCAATCATGGAAGAAGAAGAAGAAGAAGAAGAAGAAGAAGAAGAAGAAGAAGAAGAAGAAGAAGAAGGCATCACTCGGATATCGATTCTGTTGATTCATTCACTTATTATTATATTTCCTAAAGAGGAGGAAGCAGTTATATGAGGAAGATGAAGGACAGAGATGGCATTGATTCAATCTTGTGTTCTTCTTCTTCTTCTTCTTCTTCTTCTTCTTCTTCTTCTTCTTCTTCTTCTTCTTCTCCTTCCTTCTCCTCCTCCTCCTCCTCCTCCTCCTCCTCCTCCTCCTCCTCCTCCTCCCCCTCCTTCTGCCGTCCTTCTTTCTTCTCGTCGTCATCTGCCTCCTTCTCTTCCTGCTGCTCTGGCGCATACTGCAACCATTGACTGCTGCTGTTCCTGTTCCTCAGAGCTCACAGGTACTTCTCTACTTGTGTTGGCAAACAAGATGGACTTGATCCATGCCATGCCCGCTCAGCAAGTAAGTGATTCCTGTTGCAAACAAACGCATAAATCGTTATTTTGTCATGCTTTACATGTGTCAGATTTGCTGCGAGCAATTGTAAGAGTGGAGTGATATAATTTTCCTTTGAGCTGTTCGTTCAACCTTCTGTTGAATTCTGCAATCTGTTGAATTCTGCAAGTGATGGTGCCCCTTCCAACTTAGTAGTAAGGAGGCAAGCCTAAGAAACCCTTATCACAGCTCTCGGTGATAGTGTTGTGCCACTCATCACTGTCGCCTTTGAAATGACAAACAGGTCTCAAGTGACGCGCCCCACTGACACCACACAACGGTAGGGTCCACCCTGTACGGGTTGGCATCTGCTGGGAAAATGTGGCGGAGGCTGCCGTCAACTGCACGGCTGGAGCTGGGGTTGCCTTTCCTGGGTCAGCAAAGCCAGGCTTTGGGGCTCACCACACCATGCTAGATAACGGAAGAGCTTTCAAGAGGTGTGAGACTTTTTCGAGAGTCCAAATGTCGTGAGTTTGGGCCCCATCGTCACACAGCACTGACGAACGGGACGAAGCGAAAGTCTTCTTGGTCTTGATCCAATCCGCTGTGCTGTCGAGGCGAAGCGCCTGTTTGAAGTGGGATAGCAGTGAGGGTAGAGAAGAAACTGTACTCCAAAACTTCCTGTCCCTCCTTGCTAACCAGAGTATCCAAAGAAGCCTTAGGCCACTACGCATGCGGTGGTTGACGGTCTCTGGAAAGGGAGTTCAACTCTCCCGGCGACAACCAAATCTTGATTCCAGAAACCTACTATAGTGTAGGCCCCTTCACAAAAGAAGTTGAAAAAACAGACATTTCCATTCCTTTCTCAGAACACCATAATGGCTGGATTTCGTCACCACTGAGACTAGCTTTCCTCTCCTCCCCCCCCCCACCCCCCTGAAATACATGAAGACCCCACTTCAACACTTCCCCAAAAGCCCTACGTTACGGGCGGTGGAACCGTGAAAGCATTGATTGCTTCCCTTAGGAAGGATTGACTCTCAGTCTTGCCTATACTTTTACACCACCAGCACATGGCCCCAGGCAACTGGAGAACCTGTTTTGAGCCTCTCCTAAAATTTAGGAGGCCGAGCGCCGTAGACGAAATGAATCGACGGTGGGCAGCCTCCGAAAGGGGCCCGCGGGCGATAGCTGGCATCTACTGGTGCTTTAACAGACTGCCCCCTCCCTTTGTCGAACTGACCCTTTGAAACAAACATGCATGCACTCAGACCAGAAATGTTCCTCTCACTCTGCCCTTGGTAGACTCTGTTAAAACCCTAAACCCTAGGATGCCCTTTGTCTGCCCTCCTCTGGTGCCTTGCGAGATCTGGCAAATCCCACTCTTCGGAAATGGAATCCCCTACCAACGGGCCTAGATCAGTGGTACACCCATGAACTGTTCAAGTACAGACCCAAGTTCGAACCCAGATGCAAGCAGATGAACAGACAAAAGAAAACGACAAAAAGGTAATGGAATTCCCATAATTCTTTGTCTCCCTGTCGTATCACCTCTGATAGCTAGTCCCTGTGAAAGGTTGTTTATTGTCCTTCCTACCCTCAAAAATTTGTGCATTTGCTACCGTCATTTCTTCAACACCTGGGTTCTCGTGAGGGCTTCGTTCTGACGTCCTGAAGGTCAACTGGTTTTCTTGCACAACTGGCCTCCTTACCCAACAGGCTCTCATGTTTTCTCTCCAATCATGTGAGCAGGAGGCAGAAGGATGAATACGATACTTGTAGTATCACAGGCCATGTTCTCAATATGTTCACTGTGATACTAAAAGCCTCGCACATTGAGTATCAAATTTGCTGTTGTGCATCTCGTGTTTTCACTCCAATCATCGTCCCAGTCCAGATTCCGCAGCCACTGCGCCCTCTTGCTTTCCCTTGATAAGCTGAGGGCTCTTTCGCTGTGTGTCAGGGCCGTGGAGTTATAAAACGTTGCCTTCTTCCTTTTCAAAATCGACAGAAAACATTGCCGTCTCCCTTTTCAAAAAACAAGATGGAAAATGTTGCGTTCTTCCTTTTCAAACTAGACAGTAGATCCCAGGGCTCGATCCCTAGACCTCACCTCACCCGTGTACAGTACCCCTGGGTGTTTGAACTTTGAACCTGTGACCTGTGTTTGGTAGTTGACTGGGGGGTCATAGTTGTGTAGAGGCCATAGCTGTAGTAATTCTGAAAGGTCAAGGTCGTAGCTGCTACAGTCCCGAAAGGCCAAGTCTACAGACTTCCGGAAGGTCCGGAAGTGGCCTTTCGAGTTTTTCTCACGTTACTCACAGCAGACCAGAGGCAAGTGGGCAAGTGGTGAGTCCAACTTTGCTTAGTCAGCGGTACCCAGTCCCCAGTCTCACTTTGTACAGTCAGCAAGTACCATGAGGGACTGTGTGCACCATGGGCCCGGTGGAAAGGGGGCAGACCAGCGGCTTACAGAAGTATAAATCAAGAGGCAGCGTCCAGCCATTCATTCATTCTGCTGCGAGCCATGCGGAAGCGCTGCCAACGCGTCTTGTGCGAGGTGGTCTGCAGATGCCGAAGTCGAAGTGGGCTGAAGGAAGGGGATAGCATCCAGTGCTAGTGTTAGTAAGCGGCCATAGCCGCCATAGCTTAGCAGTTAGTGGTTAGTGAGTAGAGAGGTGTGCCTGAAGTGCAATGTGTGTGAGCATGTGGGATATCCAGGGAAGATCCAGAGTTAGTGCGTGTAAGCAGTGGATGTAAACTCTGAGTTGATAAGTGAAGTGAAGGCGTGCAATCGCCATAGCCATTCTGAAGCAAGTTTGTCTCTGAGTTGTGTGGGCAGTCTGCGCCAGAGCGAGCTGCTATCTGTTTGCATGCGTGTGAAGTGAAAAGAATCTGATTGCATTGGTATCAGAGCTGGTTCCCGCTATTCCACGCGCCGTAGCAGAAGTGCGTCGTCGAAGAAGGAGGGTCCGCCATAGCTGCGCCGACGAAGGAAGGTGCCGCGTACCTGCAAAGAAGACAATGACGAAGAGAGAGAGAGAGAGAGAGAGAGAGAGAGAGAGAGAGAGAGAGAGAGAGAGAGAGAGAGAGNAGAGAGAGAGAGAGAGAGAGAGAGAGAGAGAGAGAGAGAGAGAGAGAGAGAGAGAGAGAGAGAGAGAGAGAGAGAGGAGCGATACAAGATTCGTTGTGTGGTCAAGAAAGGAGGTGGCGGCCATAGCCGCCGAGCTTGGATATACGGAGAAATAGAGGAAGACGAAGAAGACCAGCAGAGGATAAGGAAGTTAAGCGGAGGAGGAAGGAGAGACGAAGTAGGGGGTGAAGAAGAAAGAGACGAGGGATGAGAAAGAAGCCATAGCCGAGGGTGAAGGAGGAGGAAGGAGGAAGGTGAAAGAAGGTGAGAGAGAGAGGGTTGGCAGCCATATCCAGCGTTGGCTGAGGTGCTTGCTGGAGTGTTTACCAACGTTGACCGGGGAGTTTTACCAACGTTGACCGGAGTGTTTACCAATGTTGACCGGGGAGTTTTACCAACGTTGACCGGAGTGTTTACCAACGTTGACCGGGGAGAGTTACCAGCGTTGACCGGGGCGTTTACCAGCGTTGGCCGAGGAGTTGACCAGGACGTTGACCAGCGTTGATCAAGGTGTTGACCAGGGCGTTGACCGGAGCTGTTGACCACGAAGTTGACCAAGCTGGAGTTGGTATACTCTCGCCAAGCCTTCAGCCTATCCCCTCGCCCTACGGATGTGCACTCACCCCATGGTACTTGCCGAGTCTGTCTTTCTCGTCTTTCTGCGTTGAGTCTCTTCTGTCCAGGTGATAGGAACTCTGTGCATGAGGTCTCTATGGTCATAGAGATGCGTTGACGAAACCCACACGGGCCGAGTAGGTTTAAAGGCTGTGTCTGACAACTGATTGACCCGGAGGACAAACCCTCCCAAACACCGGTACAGACCGGCAGGCTGCTCAGTGTGGCATGGTAGGCCCAAAATCCGAGCTGTGAGCTGCACAACGAGCTGTCTAAGTCTTGAGAGGACTTGCTGATCGCATCGTCCGGTTGCGACGTTAAATAATTCCTGAGGAGCTACGGGGGATCTCCTAAAATGCCTCCTGATCAGCAGTAAGTCCTGTAGTGACAGCCTAGTAGTAGATTCAAGTTAGAGACCATAGTTGACAAGGTCCCAAAATGATTCTGTAGTCCTTGGAGAGTCAGTCAGTCATTTAAGTTAGTCAGGGGGTGAAAGTCTAAGTGGTGAGGTGTGAGACTGTCATTTAGTTGTGCACCTTTCACCATGGTTGACACGCGAGGAGGGAAGCGCACCACCCCATACATGAAAGAGCAGGAAGAGAAGACTGCCGCCATAATGAAGGAGAGAAAGGAGAAGGAGGAGGAGAAGAAGCAAGCCCTATTCGAGGAGCAGGCGGCGAAGAAGAAAAAGCTTGAAGAAGAAATGGAGAGGTTGAAGAAGGAAAAAGAGGAGAAGCTTAAGGCAGTAGAAGAAGAAGAAGAAGAAGAAGAAGAGGAAGAGGAGATACCCCTAGTGAGGAATGCAAGGAGAGGGGAAAGAGGGGAGTCCAGCGGGACCAGTGAGGAGGAGAAGAAATTGGAGAAGATGGTGTCAGGGTGGGTGGCCAATGTCTCCCTGGGGGTAGATGAGGAGGCGTTTATGTATATCCCTCAGGACGAGAGGGATGCTGCTGAAGCAGAAATACGGGCCCTAACAGACCCTTTACAGCGGCAGGCCCTAGAAGAGGAAAAGAGAATGGAATGGATATTGCGATTGAGAAGAGGAGAAGGCACATTGAAGTGGCTACGGAGTTGGAGAAGGAGTTGGCTGCCACAACAGAGCAGCATGCTAATGCATTGGCCCAAGGGGACCTGCAAAGCAAAGTGGATGCTATTGCAAAGAGTGTAGATGTGCTTATTCGCGTCCAATAGGAACAAATGCATTTCTCAAGGGGGCATGACATAGCCCTGCAGTTCACACGAGTAGGTTTTCGAGACTTTGCTCATGATATGATGATGT